TGTAATGATACTCCAACACTTCACAAACTGACACAAGTTTACACTTGTGCACATATGGGTGTAAAAGCACATTCCATGGAGCAGCAGCACATGGAAGAAGTTTAATAAAGTCTGTCAAGCAGACATTTTAAATATTTGGACAGCGTGCCGCTACATGGGCTAAAGTTATAAATAGGTTTTCAGAATGTCACATAAGCAAAAATAGTAAGTGTATTTCTTTGACAAAGAAGAAAAAAAAGGATGAGTCTGTGTGAAATGACTCACAGCATTATGGTGCATGAACAGAGCTGCTGAGGCTGAAGTCTTGTCTACAGAATCGCTGCAGTATGTGATGTGGCGCACTGCAATTTAACTGTCGATTAGGCTGTGAACGCTCAGTAGATCCGCTCCCTTATACCTGCGCTGAAGAGGTTATGTTTTCAGTCCCATTTGTTTGTTTGTCTGCTAGAGACGATGGTTTCTCTGAAAATTGCTCATGACTTCAGAGAAACCAGAGGATGCTATGGACCATAAGGTGTACTGATGTAGGAGCGATTTTTCTTCCCTCTTAGCTTCCCCTTTGTTTTATACTGTACGTGTGTCCTATATAGACATAAAAAATCTTATTGATCTTATCTATTGAAAAATGATTTTTAAGGATTTAAGTAATTTCTGTGTCTCTGAATATATCTCTGTCTATATTCTTTGCCAAATAGGCACTAATATGTCCTAACATTCATCCCCTTTTCGCTTCCCTTTAGTCTCTGTATTTACAAATTATATGAATATGCATCAATGATACATAAACTGTTCGGACAATCCTGAGGAGACAACCCTAACACAAACCCCAAACAGAATGGAAATGCCAGATAAAGACTGGGCCTTAGGAGAAATACATTTTGTTGCTAATATTTCAAGCCTTTATTCCCACTGGAATGCTCATTGTACTTGTAGCTGCCTTACTTCAATAAAAATCTGAATACCTCTTTCCCAGCTCATATCATTTAATTGCTCAAATGTTTTCAGAATAGTCCACACTTGAAGCAGATTAAAAATTCAAATAATTATAATAATATGTTTGGGTAATTGTGGTGCCTGTGCAATACTCTTATAATACTCTTTTTTGTTGTTGTTGTTTTTTTTGTTTTTTTTTTACTTCACACATCTTTAAAAAGCAACATATATGATTTATACTTTTGGAGCACTGGCCTTGGCACCTCATGCATCTAAACTTTACCCTCATATCATAAATATTTCAAGTAGCCCTTGAAGTGGGCGCTATCTTGAAACAGCCTCTGGACAAGATACCTTTTTCATGGGCCCCGTTCTTTCTCTTTCCTCTCATGAACTAAAATCTGGAGCCAAGTAGGTTAGCTTTCTGATAACTATTTTTAACCTCACAACTGGCACAATTTCTGTTGAAGCTCTAAATTCTGTAAATTGTATAAAAAAGGTATAGAAATCCCTACAATTTTTTATGCTTAATATTGGATTAAATAAAAATGTTCAACACTCTATAATACAGGGCATATAAAATAGAGAACAGTGTTTTTTTTTATCTTTTTATTGTACTTTCTTTGTGTTCATTAAATTGAAAAAACATTTTTCCTTTTATATAATTTTTTCTTGCTCTAATTTAAACACCTTAATGATACTGATATGTACCTCAGAGCCTTCCTCCCTCAGTAGCATCTTCCACACAAAGGTGTGTTTTGTTTTGCAAGCAAACTTGGAAAAAGAAAAGTTCCAAAACGATTAATTGATGCAGAAAAGTTTCTTCAGATGAGTCCAAATTTTAGTGCTACCCTGACTTAATATACTTGCACTGTTTTGGGCAGAAGGTCAAAGAAGATCAGAGGCATCCATTTAAGACAGGATATGTCCAGTTTTAACAATCCATACTGGAAGTCCATAAATTAATTCAGCTCTTTTTTTGTTGTTTTATTTTTAGTTAAATTCCTTTATGTGAAAACTTGACGCAATTCAAAGTTTGAACTTATACCTAGTTATACCTCACTATCTATTTTTTTTACATCATTTTGATGATTGCTGTTTGTAGAGATGTTTAGACACTTCAAAAAAAGCTCCGTCAAAAACGAAGAAAAAGTTCACAGCAGAACTTTTAGAAACCCAACATAAAGTCAATATACTCAATATCAAAAGCTCATTTGATACCCTTGGTTTATTCTCTCCCCTGAGGGCTAACCCCACTCCTACTGACTTCCAGCGTGTATGTCCGCCATTGATTGTAAAAATGGCGGCTCCCTGCCCCTGCAGTACGATGCTCTTGAAGAAGATGGTAATGAAGCCTTGAACAGAATTGGAACCACTGGGGACTTGGAAAGGCTGATAAATACAGTTGGGCTTATTTTGAACAAAATAAGTCTCTGTAATTCAGGACTGAAACAATGAATCGGATAAATCATGATTCATTCTTTTATTGAAATAATCGTCAACTAATTTAGTAAGCGATTAATTGTTAACTGGAGTATAGGGACTGTAAAATGTGTCTTTAGCTGACAGAGCCACCCACTTTCAGCAGCAAATATACCAAATTTGTAAAAAAAAAAAAAATGTGTAAACATTTCGAATTTAAGATAAAATCTTTTTCGTCTATCAATATGCTCTAACCAGAACTCCTCCAGTGGAAAAGCTTTATTTTCATTTGGTTTAAATCCACAAAAACGTCTTCTTTAAGGAACCTTTGCTGAACCTTTTGACAGATTAATCGATTTACGAAAAAATCGATAGTTGCAGCCCTAGTGTAATTAACAGCGATTCTTATCATGTCTCCGATACGATGAATGAAAAGCATTTGTTTTAATCCTGTTAGATTTTAAGACTACAAGACATATCTTTTATTTAATATGATAAAATAAAAACTAAAATCAGCTCATCTTTCTCTACTACCTGCTGCTGCTGTGCTATTTCCATACCCTAAATGGCATTTGATGGTGTCTGCCTTTTTAGTAAATCCCTTTAATGCCAGTTTTACTAAATCTTTAAAGCTATGCTAATATCCCCATATCGGTAGTCAATGATCCCACGGCTGACAGAGGTTAAAGTCTGTGGTCCTTAAAATCATTTTATCTGAGAGTATAGTTTGCATGCTTAAGAATGCAATGATACAAGTGTGAATCGATTGGGCTATAGGAGCAAGAGTTAAGAATCTTAACTCTGTAAATGACATAGAGAGAGATTTATTGAATTTAGTTTCGGTTGGTAACAGAATGGTCGCCCCTATTGATATAACTTGCAAAACCAGAGGAACTGCTTCAAAGTTAGATTTCATTAAGCCCAGAGAGAGAAAAACTGTTATCTGTAATGGATTCAAAAAGTATTACATCAATTATCATTTTAATAAAATTAAAACATCTCAGTATAATCAGATAAATGGATGGATGGATGGATGGATGGATGGATGGATGGATGGATGGATGGATGGATGGATGGATGGATGGATGGATGGATGGATGGATTTTGCAAAAATCATCCAAGGTTATTTAATTCAAACCATAATCGTGTCCAAAAGGGGCATGTCTCTAGGCAAGCTGTGACTGTGGATGTGGTTGGATGTCTTTTCGGGTCACAGCTGTGCCTAACAGATGATGGCATTTCAAGTTGGACAGCTCTGTTAGATGAGGCAAGACTTGCTGACAGCGACTTTCCAAAAAAACGAGCATTCATTAAGGCATATTATATAAATATTTTGTGAATTCTAACACAGATTGTGTCGTTATCGTCTCCGACTTATTGCCAACACGCTTTTCAGTATTTACTAAACTGATTCTAATGTGGGTAAGCTATGAGGTCCCCTTGACAGGCACTGTTTTATATTATTGACATTTGCATATGGACTCAATAGAGGATACAAATTTCACTGCGTTCCATCAATAATAAGTGATTATTGGTTAATGAATGTATTTATTTTGCCCTATATAGGTCCAATAATAAATGTCAATTTATTTTTAACAGTAGAACAAAACTTCTCAGCCTCTGTTATGGTTTTATGGTTCTGTGCTGCCACCCCACGATTATTAGTGACCCCCAGGATTAAATGTGGGGAACTGGGTTCCTGAGTAGAATTAGTCTAAATCATTCCTGCTGTGAGTTAAAATTGCTCTAATCACTTTCATTACACCATGGCTTACACTAAATCTGCAGTGACAATGTCATTAATGTCATGTGGGATTTTTTTATTAAAAGAGGAAGGCGGATTAATTTGACCATTTGTCATATGGAGCACTTTGAAGGCACCACCAGCAGCTCCTCTGAAGGGGGTTGAGGAGGCTGGTCGCCTGTAGGGCGGTGGCTGCGCAGACGTGTCCAGGAGCGGGACGGTCTGTGGGGAGATGGGCTGCTGTCAAGAGGCGACATCCAAACCGAGCTGCTGAAAGGCTTCAAGTCACGCAACCTCACCTGCGTCTGTGCACGATGCTGTCCCTGTGCACCATGCTGGAGATGCACATGCACTCTTTAGACAGTGTGCACAATATACACCCTCACCAAATATACCCATGTTTGCATTAAGGACGATTTTCATCTTTGCAAATCCACAATCCCTAACAATCAACCTGCGCGCAGCCTGTGGTTGTGATCATCCACTAAACAAACAAGACACCAGCCTTCTCTCCTGCATCCTGGATCAGTTTGCGAAGAAATACTCAGCTGATTGAGCACAGAAACAGAGAACTAATCATCCACTTAGGCGACATCCAAGTTGTTCCCGACGCAGAAACTTGCGTAGCCGCATTCTGCTCCCCACTGCGCCGCGCAATTCAACTTCCAGGCATTCCAGCACACTTGGCTCTGACAGCAGACAGCGGCGCACTGCTGCAGCGCCGTTTTAAAGGCGAACCAACTCTCTTTGCCTCTATTTTGCATTGAATAACACAACTTGCACCCAAGTGTGCGGCGAGCATAAATGATCTTTTAACACTCCACACAGCCTCCAGCTTTGCGCACACCACGCCCGTCTGCACAACATTAACATCCATCCATCCATCCAAAGCGGGGCTCACCTTTAAAGACGCTTGAACAGAGGCTGTAGAGGATGAAGATCAGGTGCTGCTTGAGCATCATATTCTTCTCTTTTCCTTCACAATTTTTACGCCAACACTCCACTCTCTCCTTTTTTTTTCTTATTCTTCTCTCTCTCTTCGGTGGGGATTGGACTTATCCAGCTGAACGGTGCAGTTTCTCACTGACCCGAGTTACATTGATGAACTCAGGAGTCGCTGCGTGTTTTGGCTGATCAGAGGGGGCAGTGGTGACTGTGCTGAAGCAGGACGGCAGAAATGCTCGTCGGCAAAGTGCAGCTCCTGCTTCCCTTTATTGCTTTGACTTTGACTCGCTGCAGAGAGCTAGAGTCCCGCCCACGCTTTTTGACTAATGAAGACGCTTCACCAATGAAAACACCTTGAAATACTTCTGATCTCTGGTAAACAATCACACTGAGGACATAGTTACTTTCTTACATCAGTTTTCGGACATAAAGCATATATTTTTTTTTGTAGATTATTGTTCTGTTTTTTGTTTGTTTTTTTTCTTTCTTATATTATCAGTGCAAATGTTGATGAAGATTTTCAGTCATCCGGGTCATATTCCAAAAAAATGAAAAACAATCCACTGGACTTTGTTTCCAAGTTTGTAGACGTTTCGCTTCCCATCCAGGAAGCTTTTTCAATTCAAAATGTCAGGAATATGTCATGATCCTGGCACCGGTGGCTGGCTTGATTGCTCATTACATTCACCTGTTTAACTCTGCCCTGTTTCTCATCATCACTTATCTTATCCACCTGTTTTCCAGCTCCTATATAAAGTGTTTGTTTTCAGCCACCAGTGCCAGATTATTCAAGCTGCTGTGAGAGTAACTCTAGCCCTCAAGTAAGTCTGTCTGTTATCCTGATTCTGAGCGTTTTTTTACCTTGTCCTTGTCTGCTCTGTTTGCTGTGTTTTTGCACTGTTTTCCTGGATCCTGGTGGTTATAGGACCTGGACTGTTTCTCTCACCTAGATGAGAATAATCTGGCACTGGTGGCTGAAAACAAACACTATATATAGGAGCTGGAAACAGGTGGATAAGATAAGTTATGATGAGAAACAGGGCAGAGTTAAACAGGTGAATGTAATGAGCAATCATGCCAGCCACCAGCGCCAGGATAATGACAGAATAGCGTTGGTCAATGGCGTAACTCGACAAGCAGAGACTGCAGTTGCTTAGGGGCCCCCTACCTTTTAGGGGCCCCGTCACTGACACCTGGTTGGCCCCCTACGCAATTGTGGATTTGGATGTCTCTTTGCAGATATAATGGTGCGAAAAATTCTTCTCAAACCCACCTGACACCAATATTATAGGCCAGACCTTTTTTTATACCCCAAGACATGGAAGATTTCAACATGATGGTGAGCCGTTTAAACACACCAATAGCAAAGCAGACAGTGGTACTTTTAATTACTATGTTAATAACTGTGTATAGTTCATTAGACGGTTGGTAAAAATACTCTAATATAATATGTTTCAAACCGCAATAAAGATCTTAAAAGAATGATGTATTTGAGTATTTTATTTTTTACAATACGACTTGGAATTATAGGTAATACAGATTACAACGTGTTAGCGAAGATGGATACCAAAAAGAGGTACTTAAACGGATTACAGAAAAGAAAAAAGGAAAGAAGAGCTGCTGGAAGAAAAGAAAAAACGTTCTTTCAAAGAACCAAAGAGGGAATGGTGGACGTTGCTGAGGAAAGATTGCGACTAGGAGATGAATGGAGAGAGTGTGGATTTCGGGGGGGTTGTACTTCATATGGGGCCCCCCCAGATAATGTTGCTCACAGGCCAATGTTGTGTCGTTACGCCATTGGTATTGAGTTCGAGGTTTTATACTGTAGCTCAACAAAGCCTTGTTTTTGAGTTGAAAAACATGCAAATTGGCCTTGGTGTTCTGGAGGGGAGGGGCGTGTCTTTGGCTCTTCACAACCACTATTGAGCATTTTTCCTTTAGATAAACTTTACATGCACAAGTGCACTCTCACAAACAATTACAGGTGCTTGGTTCCAGGTACTTAGAGATTCACTTCCATACAGAAAGCCCATATTCTTATCTTCAGCTACCACAGCATACATGTCACATTAATTAATACTACTTATACTTCAGCGATAGTATCAAGGTGTTACTTTATTGTATGTCTTATATTATATATCCGCAGAGGCATAGCCAGAAAATGTTTATAAAGGTGGCCAGGCAATAGCCAATGTAGACTGAGGGGTGGCTGAAAGTGGACAGGCACCAGAACCTCAGGTTCAATCTACACTGTTCCAACAGGAAAATTAACGAGCGCAAAATAAATATTTTCAAAATAAAGACTAACTATACTTTCCTACAGCCTTTACTCACAAATAGACACATAAATTTAAACATCCATGGTGTCTAAATTAAAGGTATATTGGATAAAATTCTTTCAGGTTTGGGTTCTGGGGCAAACATCTTTTCCATTGTCATTAATTACCTACTTTTATCAATAATCCTTTGGCATAAAATTGATATTTACATGTACTAATATCTACATGAATTGATTATTTATATGTTTTTATTAAAATACTTATTTATCTATGATTTCACTAAAGACTCCTAGATGACTTGCAGAGACACGTTATTTTCTCTTTACCTCATATAACTAAAAATCTAGTTCTGAAAAGAGCATAAATTCTGTATTTATCATCTTTAATGTTAGCATATTGATGAGCATAATTAACCATAGGGTCTTTGTTGCCAAGTAATTGGTAATACATGACAAATTTAAATGTTTTGAATATTCCACTTGAGATTATTACTGCTGCCACCGTCTATATTAGAGGGAGAAAATGGTAGGGATGGCCACAGGGGTGGCCAATGATTGGTTAAGGGTGGTCATGGCCACCCCTGGCCCACCATCTAGCTCCGCCCCTGTATTACCATTGGTTGCGTTTTTTTTCTTTTTTACATCTCTTTGCAGGTGATAAAGTAGACTGAAGAAGTTTTATTATTATCTCCCTTTTATCTCCTCTGTCTTTCACCTTTTCTCCTTTTTCCGGTTTTTCCTTTCTTGCTCTGTTTACATTGTAGTGTCCATATAATCTGTAATACCCCCTGCATATTCATAATAAAGTTATTTATATGTGTAAATCAAGCTGAATACTATGGCGATAGCCATACTGCTCCACTTGTGAAAGCAAAATCTGTTGGGCCCTTTTTTGGCATCAACACATTTATTCTTATTGCCACATTGCTAAAAGGGGGTCGTTAAAGGGGATTGTTGGCCTGGCTGAATAGGGGATTGTAGCCAGGCCAACAATCCCCTTTAACGACCCCTCTTTCAGACACTTAGATGGGAATGGGGCATTGCAGGAAAACAAAAGAAGCCAAACGACCCCCATTCCAAAGGGGTGGACTCGTTCGTCCGTTCTACTTTGCATGTTTTCAAAACTAAAACAAGGCTATGTTGAAATACTGCATAAAACCTCAAACTCAACGCTATTCCTGACATTTTAAATTGAAAAGCTTCCTGGATGGGTAGCGAAACGTCTTCAAACTTGAAAACAAAGTCCAGTGGATTGTTTTTAACTTTTTTTGGAATATCAGTGCAAATATTTGCAAAAGTCACCGCTTCACAAAAACTAATCAAATGCAATCAAACACTGCTCCCGCGATGCCGCACAATGGCAGCCCACAGCTCCCCAAGGGAATGAGTTAAATGCAGCGAGTTAATTTCGTTGCTCTGTACCTGTGACAGTGTAATGACAGTAAAAAAGCTGGGGGGAAAAAACCAACAACTGTAGGAGTCTGAAGAGTTAAACTTTCTGTAAGGCTATAATTGTTTGGTGATTATAACCAAATCTTGTTTTTCGTGTTGCTGTATGTTTGACAGCGCTGAAATTATATAAACCCTTTCCTTAATAGAAACCTATAAAAATCTATGAATATCCTTCCATTGTAATTAAAGCTGCAGCTCATTTTATGTTTTTCTTTACCAGCTTTGCACAAATGAAGAAAAACGTCAATTTTTTCATTGTGCATTTTTCTTAGTGAAATGGCCTCAGCACTGTCACAACTGATGAAGAGAATCCGAGATAATGACTTCAAGTCTTGTCACAGCATCTCAATTGTAATGTAGTCTGAGCTTTTACTGGGCCTTTCTGAAACAGCAAGCTTTTTTAGTCTTTGAAAAAACAATGTTTCCAAAGTTTCCTGTGCTTACTAGAAGTCCTAATGCCAAGACCAAAACAGAACTCCTTATTTTGCAATGAAAGATTAAAGGTGCATTACCACCGATCCTTCTTTCCATCAGATGTTGGACATTAAATCACTTTTCCCAACAAAATCATTGGGTTTAATATCTCTGCTGTTTTATACATGCAGTCTATATCATTCATTTATGTCCTATCCTGTGTTTCTATGCACAGATATACATGAATATGAATTCATTATGATACCTTTAAACAACCTTTTAAGTATGTTTATGCAGTCTCCTATTGTTATTTTTTGACTTTTTTTTACTCATTTTTTTACCTTTTTTCTTGTTCATGCTACAATTTATGCTTCACATACTGTTTAGATGATAACGGTTATTTCTATTTCATTTCTATTCAATCACGTAAAAACGGCTTCCATCTTGTCAGTTTTACAGGAGAAAACAGCACGTGGTGTTTAAGGTTGTCTTGGCAGCAGATTTCCCCATCTGAGCTTAGGATCACTCCTTAGGAGGTTCCCTTGACTGGTTTTCTGATTAGTGTTCTTGCTCAGTTTATGTAGAATACAAACCTGTTGGTAGGTCTTCAGTGTTTTTTTTTTTTTTTTTTCAGATAATAAATTAAGCAAATGTCCATCAAGATCTTTAAAGTTTTGGAAACACTTAGTGCATTTCTGCATATAACATGTTTTTAAAGTAATGAAAAGGACTGCATATAGCATGAGAGAAATACCTGCTAATGTTGTATGAATAGATTGTTGCTTAACAGAGGTGGTGACCCAGTGTCTGGATGCATGTAAGGAATGACTGCACATACAAAGGGGAGGTAAATGGACCCCTGGACATCCACCTTTCTTTTAAATGGATCTCACGAGGCGCAGAGAAATGAGTGTGGCCATTCCCAAGGACAGAGGTGGGAAGGGAAAATGGTGGCTTCAGCCAGGGAGCATACTGATCGCAAGGATTTTACACATGGTTTAACATTCTGCTTGGCAAATTTGGTTCAATTTTTCACAGTGGGCCACCACGCCACTCCCACTTCAAATCAAATTGCTGACCTGAGCGAACCACCTGAGAAAAGATTTAGGGCTG